AATAATAATAAAAAAAAAAAAAAAATTGATGCCAACTCGATCACTAGGGCAGTTGAACCACTCCTCATCCAAGAATTAAAATATCATAACCCAAACCATATAAAGTGACAATTAATTAATCCATAAAATATATAACTAAAAACATAGAAAAATAGCTAGCACCTATATACAGACAGAAAATTGGCACCTTTTTCAGGTTCAGCCAACCCTCAATTAGTTATGTGACTCGATTCCATCTAACAATCACCACAAAGAAAAAAATAAAATAAAAAACTAAAAAGAAATTACCGTTCAATCACATTAACACTACTAAAAAAAGTAAAAAGTAAATAATAAACACACTTTAAATATTAAAACATACGGAAATGCTGCAATCCCATTATGTAACTATTTCGTCGAGATTTGTATGTATTAGATTATCATGTCTAACAATTATAATATAAACTACGACGGAATAGTTCCGTAACGAGACGTGAAGCATAAAACCCATCTAATACTCAGCCCTCGAGTGCCTTGTAAATCACGACAAAGCACGGCAAAATTGCCCGGGAGCTGAACACGCGCAGCTCCTCCAAGCTCGAGTACATCCCGGTGCTCTCCGCCACGGAGTCGTACGCGCCGTCGGATCCGCCGTCGCTGCCCGCCCCTTCATCCGACGCGCGCCTCACTCGCCCCGCGATCACGCGGCACACGAGCATGGCGCGGCGTGTGCCCGATCCGCCGGCGAGCGAGTCGTGCGCCCGGCCGCTGCTCGCCGTCGTCCGGATCCCGCCGGCGCGGCCGCCCTGGAACCCGTGGCGGATGGTGGCGCAGACGCCGCAGGCCGGCGCGGCGCCGCACAGGCTGGAAGAGCCCCGGGCGCCGAGCGAGCACGCGAGGGTGGCGCAGTGGAAGCGGAGGAGCTCGTTCCCGTCGGCGGCGCACCTGGCGTCACGCTTGGCGGCGTTGCCGCCGGCGCGGGTCTTCACGGCGTCGCGGTAGTCCTCGAACCGTTGGATCTTGCGCTGGGTGTTGTGGACCTTCAGGATCCGTTCGATCTTGCAGATGGGGCTGTCCTTCTTGAGCCAGCTGGATTTGAAGATTATCTCCACTATGTTGCGGCTCGAGTCCTCGGGACCCAGCTCTGACACTGTAATAAAAATATTAGCACAAACAACAATATTAGTAAATAATTAATAAATATAACGAAAAAAATATTATATATATATATATAAATAAATAAAATTATACACCAATGAGAAAGTGCCACGTATTGCTGAGTGGTACTTTTCCATTTTATGAGAGCTGCAAGCTTGTAAATTTATATCATATGGTCCACCAGAAAATGACGTGGCGTGGTAAAGGGGCGGGTTAAAGGGAAAAAAGAAAAGTAAAATAGTAAATGCACCAACAAATTGGACCCTTTTAATGCTTTTTAAACCTTTTTAATTCGATTGGTTTTGTGTTGGCAGAATAATGCCGTTTTGCCTGCACTTACTAGTTCAAATTTTAGGGAAATGTTAAGTCTCGGAACCGTTCAGTCGGAGTTTGTAACCGTTAGATTATCATGTAATCATTGTGGATAATTGATATAATGATTACAAATCTCGACCGAATGATTCTGTAATGGAACCGCAGAATCTCTCCAAACATAATAGGTATCAATAAGTGAATTAATTAATTAATTAATTAGTCAAATCAAAATAAATCAAGGAAGCATATAGGCCACACATATGATGAATGCATGAAGCAAACAGCCTACTAGTCAAACATAATTAGACTTCCCTTCAATTATTTCGGCTTCAAAAGAAGCAAAAAAATAATTAAGTGGGTAAGATGGCATGATCAGTGAGAAAAAATAAATAAATAAAAAAGCTACTACAATTTCTATCATGATTAGTCTTTAATTTCTGAAGTATTATACTAATCATAAACATCCCTATTTGTGTTAATAATTGTTAAATAAGTATAATCTAACACTCAAATGTTAATATTTATTCAAAAATAATTTTAATTAATGTAAGCTATTTCACAATATAAATATTTATTTTTATTAAGAAATTATGGTTGACCCACCACTAACCAGACTCGCATCAGAATAAATGAATATAGATATAAAAATGATTCTAATACTGCCAGATTATTAGGACAAAAAAAATGTAAAATAAAATAAAATATAATAAAAACAATAAATAAATTAATGGAAAATGTTAGGTCCCGTTACGGAACCAATCCATCAGGAGTTTTAACTACTGTATCATCAATCTTATACTAACTACATGATGAACCAACGGTTAAAACTCTCGACGCAATGATTCCGTAACGGGACCGTAATATTTCCCTTGATTAAATTTACCTGCATGTCTCACTGCTTGATGATGTTCCAAGCTCTCAATTTTAGGGAAAACCTCTCCACACTCAGAGCAAGCACATATGGTTGTTCTTGGCAAAGGATACCTGCAATAAAAATAATCAATCACTTAATTAATCATCTCAAAAAAATAATAAATCTATATATAAAAAATAAAAACAAAAACAATTAATTTAATTTAATTAAATATCGTATATTATGAGCAAAAATAAATAAATAAGCAAGAAACTAATTGAATTAATTACCTGGTCGGGTCAACAATTGCGTGGCACTCGTAGCAGCCAGAAAGCTTCCTGAGCTGCATACCCCTGCCACCGGTGTACGGCGCACCGCTGGCAGCGGACCTAACAGAGGACGACACGTGGCCTCCTCTCTTGAGGAGCCTTGCCTCCTGGCCTAAGGAGCTGCTCTCGGGTGAGTTGTCGGCCCGGTGTACGACCCGCCGGGTGTTGCCGTGGACCACGTCCCGGAAGGTACAAACGGAGGAGCAGGAGGTATAAATGTTGGGTCGCGAGGGGTCGTGGACTTTGGCCCCCTCGACCTGCTTGCAGGTCAGGAGGCTCTTGATCTGCTCCCACGAGGAGGACGACGAGGGCTGTTTCGTAATTTCCTTCTTCTGCTTCTTCTTCTTGGGCTTCGGGTCGGTGTTGGTAGGGTGGGCGAGGGTCGCCGCCATGAAGACTAGCACAAGGAGCTGTTGTGTGGTGCTCATGGACAAAAATGATTAAGGCAAAAAAATAAATAAATAAAAAACACGTACACACACACAGACACGCACTTGGTTTGTGAGAGAGAGAAAGGAGCGAGTAGAGAAATTTGGGAGGGTGTTTCTTTAATGAGGGGAGAGATCCAAGACTAAGGGTAGGAGCGTCTTTTTGGTGGAAAAATTCACTGTTTGATCAATACACACTCGTACAGGTGTGTATTTGTATGTGTATGATCTGATGGTTCAGATCATTGTCTTCACCATAATCAATACATATATGTACAAATGTGTGTATGATCTGACGGTTCAGACCAGTACTGACCTTACCAGTAAAGTCAATCCAGTCTTTTCTGATGTGAATATGTGTGTGTGCATGATCTAACGGTTAAGACTACCGCCGACAGTGGAAGGGCAAGGGTCGATCCTGCCTTTTTTAGTAACATTTGTCAATTTCATTAGAAATTGTTGGGTTATTTTTTTAGATGGGTGTAAGATAATTGTAGAGAAATAAATTTACGATTCATACCACTGCACACACTAGTAAAGTTGATCCCGCCTTTTTTTTGGTGTGGGCATATGCGTGTGCATGGTCCAACGGTTCAAACTATTGCCTAAAGTGGAAGGGGAAGGTCGATCATGCCTTTTTTTGTGAGATTTACCAATTTAATTAGAAATTATATAGTTTTTTAAGGTTGATGTGAGACAACTCTATAGGGATAAACTTACAATTCATACCACTGTCCACACTAATGAAGTTGATCCAGTCTTTTTTTTTAGTGTGGGCATGTGCGTATGCATAGTCTGACGGTTTAGACTACTGCCTAAAGTGGAAGGGGAAGGGTCGATCCTACTCTTTTTGGTACGATTTGCCGATTTAATTAGGAACTATTGGTTTTTTTAGGTGAGTGTGAGACAATTATATAGAGATAAATTTACGGTTTAAACATAGTTTTTAAACCCGACCCAAAAATCGACTCGGGCAGGCTCCGGACCGGGCCAACGGTTCAACCGCTGGGTCACTGGGTTAATTGATGAACCGGATAATTAATTTTACATTTTTTGAAATATATATAGCATTTTGTCATATAAATATAAATAAAAATAACAAAATTAAATGTTTTGTATATGAAATTTGTACTTTAAAGTGTTAATAATATGTATTTCATAATAAATATTTACCATATTAATATATACATAGTTTTATTTTGTAAGAACAAAAATATTTAAAAAATAATAATATAATAAAAAATAATATAGGGGCACGGTCAACCGGGTTGAGTCGGGTCAATGCCCCGGGTCCATCAGGTCAAGGCCGGGTTGGCCGGGTCCTTTGTTGCCCGGTCTGAATAGCCCACCCAGACCAATTTCGGATTGAGGCCGGTCCGAGTTGGAAAACACTAGTTTAGAGTCTTTAGACCACTACCTGCATCGGTAACCACGATCCTCCTCTTTTTTGTGATTGTGTATCTGCGATCTGACGGTTACCGATTTAGTTATGAATTTTTATATTTTTTTTGGGTGAGCGTGAGATAATTATATAGATATAAATAAAATAAAATTATTTAATTAGTCCATAATCCAAATTAACATTAAAATCAGGATTTGTGTGGCTAAAACATGTATAAGTGGGCTTGTCTTATGCGCCCAAGACTCCGGCTTTAGTTTCCACTTGCAGTCAGAATTAATAAATAATTGTGGGAGATCATCAGTCATACACTCAGTACTCAGATTCATATCGATTATTAATGTATTTATTGTTAAT